ATAATAACGTGCCAGGCGATTCACATGGACAATCTTAGGAGTCCCTCTTGCGCCTTTCTGTATCCGGTAGGTTACATCGTTGATCCTGGTCACAATGCGGTACGGGCTGTCCCATTTAACTTAAAGCTTAGGAGATTTCCCTTTGCTGCGGACTGGATTGTGCAACCACACTAGTGAACCTTCGTCGAACCCTTTGTTGTTCATTTTGCAGTCATACCGGGTTTTCATCTTTTCGTACATTTGCTGGCCCGATTGTCTGACGTGCTCATAAATGTCATTCATTTTGTTCCGGTCAATTGCATAATCGGTTATGCTGCGTGGGGCATCAAGGTGGTATCCCGGTGATCAGGTCTGCAGGCAGCCGTAATTCTCTTCCAAAGTTTGCGAAACATGGTGTCACTGATGTACTTTCGTGAACAGCGCTTCGATATGACAACAAAAACGGTTGTATGTGCTTGTCCCAATTTCGTTGCCGACTGTCTACAACTTTTGCTAGGTACCTCTCCAATATCTGATTAAATCCTTCTACCATTAGATCAGATTGCGGGTGACAAGAAGTCGTTCTTGTTTTATGAGTACCCATAACTCGGCAAGTTTCCTGGAATATTTGAGACTCAAAATTCCTTCCTTGATCGCTGTGAATCTCTAAAGGTACTCCAAAATGACAGAAGACTTCATGAACTAGTTTATCTGCAACTGTTGAAGCTTCTTGATTTGGAATGGCGAAGACTTCTGGCCACTTAGTGAAGTAATCCATCACAACCATGAAATACTTGTTACCGCTTTCACTCTCCGGAAACGGCCCCGCCACGTCAATAACTATTCTCTCCCATGGTGCACCAACATTGTACAACTTCAATGCACCTCTACTACGAGTCTGAGGTACCTTTACAGCCGCACAACTTGTACATTTGCGACACCAGTCCTCGACATCGTTTCGACAGTGGACCCACTAAAACCGTTCACGGATCTTCAGTAGAGTTCGTTTAACTCCCAGATGACCTCCTGAACAATCATTATGGTACAGCTGTAGAACATCCGGTACTTTACCTTTAGGGACAACCATTTGCAAATGACAGCTGTCTCCCCGAACATTTTCCCATTTACGGCACAGAACTCCATCCTGAAGCAGCAAGCTGTCCCACTGGGCCCAATAGCTTTTAGTGGTCGAACTCATCGCTGAGACGTCGCTCCACTTGGTCTTGGGAGCACTGGCTTTCATCCATTCCAGAATCGGCTTGATGTCCGGATCTTCCTGCTGTGCACGTTGTAAGCTGTCCTTCCACTCGTTGCTGAGGTGGTCTGCCCTGAGCATCCTCACGGATACCACTTCCTTACTCTCTTGCCTAGTACAATGTTTGCAATCTTCAGGACAAGGTCTTCTTAACAATGCATCTGCGTTGCCATGAGATTTCCCGCTGCGATGTTCGATCTCAAAGTCGTATTCCTGCAGTTGTTCAATCCACCTAGCAAATAGTCCTTTTGGATTTTTAAACTGCAATAGCCATTTTAGTGCAGCATGGTCAGTTCGTAAGTGAAATTTTCGTTCCAGAAGATATTTGCTAAAATGCTGCAACGAATTTACCACAGCTAGCAATTCGCGTCTTGTGACATAATAGTTCCTTTCCGGTTTTGACAACGACTTGCTGAAGTACGCTATCACGACCTCTTGGTCACCATTCCGTTGAGACAACACACCGCCAAGTCCTATATCACTTGCGTGTGTTAACTATAAATTCTTTGCTTGCATCAGGGTATCCCAACATAGGTGTTTTGCACAGACGGTCCTTGAGCTCCAGGAATGCGATATTGCAACTTTCATCCCAGCAGAAGTGTCGCTTCTCCTCGGTTAGCTTGTGCAGAGGTTTGGCTATATCTGCAAAGTTCAACAAATCGCCGATAATAGGAGTACAAACCCAAAAATGCTCTAATCTGCGTCTTGTCTTTTGGAACCGGCCAATCCTTGACAGCGGCGATTTTCTCCGGATCCGTGCGGATACCTTCTTCCGACACTACATACCCCAAAAAGTTGACTTGCCGTTTGAATAGTGAACATTTCTTCGGACTCAACTTGAGGTTGGCACTCTGAATCTTCATGAGCATGCGTTACAGGTTTTGAAGGTGTACCTCAAACGTACGGCCCACGATGATGATGTCATCCAAGTAGACCAGACAGGCATCGCCAATTAGCCCGGTAAGTACAAGCTCCATCAGCCTTTCAAACGTTGCTGGAGCATTGCACAATCCAAACGGCATTACTTTAAATTGCCACAGATCCTTTTCCGTCGAGAACGCAGTTTTCTCCTTGTCCTTAGGGTCAATTTCAACTTGCCAGTAGCCACTTTTTAGATCCAGCGTGCTAAACCACTTTACTCCTGTAAGCATGTCCAGCGTGTCATCAATTCTTGGCAAGGGATAGCTGTCCTTCTTTGTAACGTCGTTCAGACGGCGGTAGTCAACACAGAACCGCGTGCTGCCGTCCTTTTTCTTTACCAGCACCACGGGCGAACACCATGGACTAGATGAAGGTTCAATAACGCCATCCTTCACCATTCCTTCAATCATGGTTTCCACTTCCTTTTCACGTGCTACCGGCAATCTTCTTGGCCGCTGACGGATAGGCAATTCTTCTCCTGTGTTTATTTTGTGTTGAACCAAGCCAGTCTTTCCTATGTCAGCATCGTTTGAGGATAATACATCGGCATACTTGAGCAACAACTTCTTCGCCTTGACCATTTCGTTCGGGGAGAGAACGCTGCGACAGTGTGGTCACTCTCGTTTGTGCATCCTTGCTGGGGGTCCCACTCGATAGATATTGGCACCGACGTAACCAATCCACTTCCTTACAAGAACCAACCAGTGTGCCTTTTTCTATAATCTGTTCCTGGTCACAAAGGTTCAGCACACGTACTCCTGAGATGTCAGTGGTTCTGACCAAGGTTCGAGCTACTTTTCATGGCAGGTCATTGTTTACCCTTTCCACAAGTACACAACGGTGAGCTTGCCCAGGGTTCCGTGGAAGACTAACCAGCACAATCGTTTCCGATCTCGGCGGAAGAACAATCTTCTTAAGGCTGTACACGTTCCCTGGTAACGCTCCTTCCACAAAAAGTTCCTCTTGTCGACATTTCAAAACACCTTGCTTAACGTCAATCTCACAACAATTCTTCCTCATGAAGTCTAGGCCCAGGATGCAGTCGACCATTATATCAGCCACGATGACATTATTGAGGTAGATCATGTTACCTAGCTTTAACTCCATCTCCTCTCCACGGACGAGTATACGCTGACCGGTGGCTGTTACCAAATTAATGCATTCTTGGTTGTATACGAAGTCCCCAAGGAACTGTCTTATAATTTGGGAACTAACAACCGTGCGAGAGGCTCCAGTGTCTATGGTCAGTTTACACGGCATTCCGTTGACCTCGGTCTTGATGATTAGACTGTTCCCATCATGGGTTTGTGAGATCGAGACCCTTTGGGCTCTTTTAACATCAGCCAGCACCCGCCCCGCAGTTCTGACTTTTACTCGTTTCGCTGCTGCTGCTGGGCGGGGCTGTTAGCCGCACCACCCGCCTGATATCGTTCACCTTCCCTTTCTACGGTTCGCTTAGGGCAGCTGGATCGAAGGTGGTCCCTTTCCCCACAGCCATAGCACCCTTAAGCGTCTCGTGGTGCCCGAGCCTCACAGCAGCTCTGACTTCAGGGTCGCGGATGCCGTCGATGAATGTCTGCACCAGGTTCCCTTCAATGAGCGCAGGTACAGACTGGTATGCTTTTCGAACCATCTTCTCCACCTGAAGGGCCCACTGCTGCAGGTTTTCGTTGCTGCGTTGCACGCGATCTTTAAGCTGCGCGCGAAAGACGTGTTCTAGGTGAGCGTCGCCATATCTCGCCCCCAATACCTCAAGGAGCTGCTTGTAGGTCACTTTCTTACCGAGAGCTTCCAACACAGTTAAGGCTTGGTCGCGCAGGCCTAGGGTGAGTGCAGTCATGGCCTGGCTTTTATTCCAGACGTTCGCCTCCATGACGGCCTCGAACTGAATTTTGTAAGCTGACCAGGAAGAAGTCCCGTCGAACGGTGGCACTATGAACCTACGTAGCGAAGGTGTAGTAGCTACTACGGGAGCTGTAGTTCCATCCCCCAGTTTCAGGTCGTCCAGCGTTTTCTTCACGTCAGCCATCACGTTGTCAACCCGATTGTTCACTTGGTCGATTTGGGTTTTAGCTTCCTTGATTTGGGCTTCGACGGGCGGTTGTCATGTTGAGCAACCCTATCTTTCACCTCCCTTATTTCTTTCCCGAAGTTAGCGTGAAGGTCCTTCACTTCGGCGGAGGCGTTGACTTCGGGTACGGACACCCTCCGTTTCCTCATTAGGTAAAATCGGCATGATTTTATCCCACTTCTGACACCAATTGTTACGAGCTTGAGGTTCGTGACAATAAACTGCCGATTGAATTACCAAAATTTACACTTTTATTACCGAACACCAATTAAAACTTAAAACACTAATAATTAATCACACTGATTCACTTTATTTCGCTCCGAAGCTTCGCTTGTCTCGCCAAATTCAGTACTGCTCCGATCGCGTATTACAGCGCCTTTAAATACATCTTTTTCACCGAAACATCCAGAATATTCAAGTAAATACGCGCGCCCACTGACCAGGCGCCGAAAGTTCGAGTGTGGGGCTTCTAGAAAGATTAGTTCTTCAATTCGATACTAGATGGCGCTGTTGGTTGAAAGATTAGTCATGTCATTTTCTGTAAAGCTCTCCTCGCTCTGTTACCCGACACTAGATGGCGCTAGTGCCAGACGTCAACTTAGGCGTCCAACAATATTATAAGCCTGCCTTTACAGAATTTTGTGTATTACACTTGCTAGAGCGCTATAGTACAAACCATACCCCACCCAACTACGTCCTTAACGCAGTTGGCAATAAATAAAAATATAACATTAATATTATATATTTATTTAAATTTAGGACATTTTTAAATAATTAATGCTTTTCTAAAGCTTTAACTAAAAGATCATTAATATGAGTGACTAAGTTTCTTGGATCCATAACCAAACCAGCTGTGACCATCGCATTTGAAAACAATTGTTGGGAAACCATATTAGCGAGTTCCTTGTCACTAGAAATAAGTTTGTGTAGTTTTTTGACTATTGGATGCCTGTAAAAGAAAATGATAAAATGAAAGCGGCGCGTAATAGAGCAGTTAATACATACTCAAGCTAAGGAAAAAAATATTAAAAAAAAATTGGTATGAAAATAATATGAGTTACATTACAGATAGGTATGCAGTGAAACCAGAAACATCTATTAGTTTAATGATTTCTTATATTTACGCGAACACTACACATTGATTAAAACTACTTTTACGGATTTTATCGCGTTTAATTTTAATTATTTTTAATTCCCGACGTTTCGGGTGCTTTCCAGCACCCATAGTCACAGGGGACTGAGATGACTGACGTCCCGATACCACTGTTAAGCCCGGAGTACGTTCAGCTTTTTTAATTATTGTTTATGGTCCGATCTATGCAAAATGAACTGACTGACTATTGATTATAGGGTCCCAAGCAGGTGGTAGTACCCAGCCTCCTTCTCTATTGAAAGTAGGATGTTTTTTTTTAAATAGAGCATACCATAAACAATAATTAAAAAAGCTGAAGGTACTCCGGGTTTAACAGTGATATCTGGACGTCAGTCACCTCAGTCCCCCGTGACCATGGGTACTGGAAAGCACCTGAAACGTCGGGAATTAAAAATAATTAAAATTAAACGCGATAAAATCCGTAAAAGTAGTTTTAATCAATCTTTTAGTTTTATTTTTTTAAATCAAAGCGAAGTCGGAGAAAGATACCATCGGTGACAATCTGTTGCTTAAGCTGTAAAAAATATTGACTTGTAACCATAGAGTTTGTCAGGCATTGTACAAATCTCTTAGTTCTTTGGTTAAGTCGCATCCACTTTGGTCATATCGTCAATAAATCTGTATTCAAAAAAGATGTTTTTATTCAATTACAAACCACGTTATTGTTTGTGATCGAAACTTTTAAGGTATATTGGACTATTGCTGATGACTATTCTTGTGAGAAGACGATTATAGTCGATAGTCTCTTTCTAACCTTCGATGTGTTAAACATTTAGTACCAAAAGCTGTGAAAAGATTATTAGTTTGTAGTGTATTTAATAAGTTATTATTTGAATATCTCTGTAAAATATGTAAATTATGGCCTCTTTAAATACGGGATCTAACATTCGAACCGATGGTAGATTTTTTTTATATATTCCATAAATGTCAGACTACTTACTTTGCATTGATTTCTAACTGAGGCCTCAATAAAGCAAACCTATTTTCTTCGCTGAGATTTTGCGCTTGAGTGCGTATAAAATGACGTGCGGCGGCCATTTCAGGTATTACAATCACACAAGGGTGTGTATCCAGTTTCTGTGTGGTACGGACCTCGAAGACTTTTCCATCCAAATTTTTTTTCAAGAATGATATTAATTCATTTACTTGACTTTGTTGCAAGTCGTCGCTACCTGTTTTGTGCATTGAAAACATTGATATACAAATTACTCAATAAAAATGAACATCTCATTCTAAGACATTTTTTTTATAGAATAAGGGTGACAAACGAGCACGCAGTCCACCTGATGGTAAGTGGATGCTGTGGCCTATAGACATCTACATTTATCCTCGAATGAGAATCAAAACGCAGATGCGTTGTCACCCCTGAGGACTAAGATGGAATGCCTCGTTTCCAGTAAAAAAAAAAGGTCTCCGGATCTCTACACTCACCATACGAAACACAGCAGTATTAAGCTGCTATTTTACGCTGGTATTCTGTGAGAGCGTGGTCCTTCCCCGGTCGAGTCGATCCATTCGTGCTACAACCATAATATAGCTGCAGCGTGGCTCTACCACGTAAATAAAAATAATTAATTAAATTTAATAATAATAATTATTATTGATTTATTTCGTTACTGTGCAATGCAATATTTTTTTTGGCCGTGTAGTGACAATGTAAGAATTTGCACAGCCCTATATCATTTTGCGAGTGTGGTAAGAGTCCACATATAGGAAAACAATCCCGGAGACAGGCAGCGTCTTTCTTAAAACTGAACTGAGGTTGCAGACCCGCTTAGCAAGCGTGATAGCTATGGCAAATATCTACATATTTCGTATCACGCAGTGGACTTTCGTAGGTTCTATGATGACAATAATTACAGAAACCTCACCGAGCATTTAATAAATTTACAGTTAACTTAATGGATAAATAACTTTTAAAATGCTTACAATTAAGAACGATATTAATCATAAAATTCATTTAGCATATAAAATATATGTTCCACAAATCAATTTTTTAGTTTGTATGTGATATTGGGACCTTAAGAGATTTAATATTTTAACTGCTTATATGTATGCACTTTATTTTTAATTTTAGGTAGATAGAGTTCCTTTTATAGCAGAGGCGAAAATTGTGTCGCGTTCAAAGTTTCTGTTCGAATAAATCGTAATTATTTAGAATAAATAGGCACAAACAGATATATATTCCAATTAAGGTTATAAAAACATGTGTGCAGTTCACACGCGGTGTAAATGTAACCTTCAGAAAAGGAAACAAAGACAGTAAGAAACTGTATTCTATCTCTATATGTTAGTCTTTTTTTTTTGTGGCGCTTTTTCGTTTCATCGAGTTTTAAATCACAATGATTCTAAATAAGTTTTGCTTTAAATAAGTTTGGCTCTGTAATCTGATTATTTGATCTGACAAGTTGCACAGATAGGTGATCAATTACACTTCTAATAATATCAGGTGAGATCTATATCACATGGACTGGCTATAAACCCGAAAAAAATTAAAGCAATGACAGTAGACACCAGTTTACTTGATAATAATCACATAAACTATTGATAAAAATGAGCTGATTCCGACTCTGAATTTGAGTAAAATATATTTCTTACCTTGAATGAAAATGAAAAGTTAACTTGAATTGATTCCTCTAAATTCGTAAGTTTTGAATGTGTGTTTCATCGAAATATTACATACTTTATTTAGTTGATGATATGTTAATTTAATTATATTTCCATTAACTCCCTTTATTATTAATACACAAAGAGAAACTACCTTTCTAATTTTGTTTAGTCTTAAGATCGAGCAAAAATGTTCTATGATTTATGGAACATTTTTGATTCGATTCATCATTTTAATACTGTTTTTAATTAGTAAATATAAACAAAAATCCACCTTTTCTTTCTAAGAACATTGATGTCGTATTTGGATTGTAAATTAATAAAGACCTCTAAATAATTGACGCACACTACACTTTGGCGATTGTTTTTTTTAATTTGTCTTACCGATAATAGTTTCACTTTTGTCCGTAGATTCCCTCTGCATGTCATTCTCCACGGAGATTAACGACCGACGAGCGAATTCTTTAAGTTCTAGGAGCACCAGTTCATCATACATTTCATAACAGAATAACACTTCCAGGTCGCGTTTCTTAAGAGATTCATAATATGGAGATGTTTCAGCGAGTTGGCGGCTATGATAAGACAGAAAGCGTTTAGCGACGTAATATATATATTCATTTTTATATTACGCAAAAAGGTACTACAATTTTATTTAAATAAGTAAGTTTACATAACAGAGCCGTGGTACGCTCTCTTATGTATACTTACTTACACCTCGCTCGCTTCCCATCATTTCAGTGTGCCTCTCGTAAATATAACAGAACGCGAGTAACCCGGGTTCGATCTCCGCCGGTACCAATGAAATTGTTAATTGCAATTTTAAGTGCTGATTTACCACGTGTTCGGCGATTAAGGAAAACATCGTGAGGAAACCTGCATGTCAGAGGAATAAGAAAAAGAAATATTTCGAAGACATGTGAAGTTCACCAACACGCATTGGGGCAGCGTGGCGGACACTTCCTTGCCCTAAAACCCTCTCAGAAATGAGGATAGGCCTGTGCCCAGCAGTGGGACATATAAAGGCTGTAACTTTACTTTTATACATAATAGGGATTTTTATAAAAGTAATTAAAATAATAAGTTCACATACAGATCAATGTTCAAAGTCGAATCATCGTGTCTGGTTGAAATTTATAAAAGTTATTATGGTATACCAAAACAAAAAATAATGCTCAATCGGTAGAAGTTACCACGTACTTTTAAAAAAATATCCACATCAATGTTCAAAGTTAAATTGATATCTTTTTCTTATTTAAAAGTTAGTTGTAAATGAAAACAAAATTACATTAAGCATATCATTCCATCGCTTATAATTTATTGCTCAATAGACACTTTACCTCGGTGCTGCTAAGTAATAAATAGACTTTTGATCGTCTTTTTGCCTCGAACAATAATCAGCCAGTGATGTTTTCACGCCGGCCTCCAATTTAGACGACTCGAAACGCAGTAATTTCGCAATCTCCTCCTAGTGTTCAAGAACTTTCATTATAGTCAAAAAGATCAAAATATCAACAGCTTACAAATGTAATTCAGGCTATATTTTAAACCATACAACAGCCTGGAGTTAAAGGATCTTTGTTAAAAGTGGAGAGAAAACGAACTTCACAACAGTCCACTTGATGGTAAGTGGCTACTGCGATCCATGGACACGGCCAACTTCAAACAAAGAAGGTTCGAAAGCGTTTTCACTAGAAGACTAAGAATATCTCACAACCCGAAATTATACTAGCTCTTATACCCTTCAAACGGGAACACGACAGTGCACAGTGCGAGCATTACTATTTGGCGGCAAAAATACGAAAGAGGCAGTACCTACACAGGCGGACTCTTGGTACCTACACAGGCGGACTCTTGGTACCTACACAGGCGGACTCTTGGTACCTACACAGGCGGACTCTTGGTACCTACACAGGCGGACTCTTGGTACCTACACAGGCGGATTATTGGTACCTACACAGGCGGACTCTTAGTACCTACACAGGCGGACTCTTGGTACCTACACAGGCGGACTCTTGGTACCTACACAGGCGGACTCTTGGTACCTACACAGGCGGACTCTTGGTACCTACACAGGCGGACTCTTGGTACCTACACAGGCGGACTCTTGGTACCTACACAGGCGGACTCTTAGTACCTACACAGGCGGACTCTTGGTACCTACACAGGCGGACCTTTAGTACCTACACAGGCGGACTCTTAGTACCTACACAGGCGGACTCTTAGTACCTACACAGGCGGACTCTTAGTACCTACACAGGCGGACTCTTAGTACCTACACAGGCGGACTCTTAGTACCTACACAGGCGGACTCTTGGTACCTACACAGGCGGACTCTTAGTACCTACACAGGCGGACTCTTAGGACCTACACAGGCGGACTCTTAGCACCTACACAGGCGGACTCTTGGTACCTACACAGGCGGCCTCTTAGTACCTACACAGGCGGACTCTTGGTACCTACACAGGCCGACTCTTAGTACCTACCCAGGCGGACTCTTAGTACCTACACAGGCGGACTCTTAGTACCTACACAGGCGGACTCTTAGTACCTACACAGGCGGACTCTTAGTACCTACACAGGCGGACTCTTAGTACCTACACAGGCGGACTCTTAGTACCTACACAGGCGGACTCTTAGTACCTACACAGGCGGACTCTTAGTACCTACACAGGCGGACTCTTAGTACCTACACAGGCGGACTCTTAGTACCTACACAGGCGGACTCTTAGTACCTACACAGGCGGACTCTTAGTACCTACACAGGCGGACTCTTAGTACCTACACAGGCGGACTCTTAGTACCTACACAGGCGGACTCTTAGTACCTACACAGGCGGACTCTTAGTACCTACACAGGCGGACTCTTAGTACCTACACAGGCGGACTCTTGGTACCTACACAGGCGGACACTTAGTACCTACACAGGCGGACTCTTAGTACCTACACAGGCGGACTCTTAGTACCTACACAGGCGGACTCTTAGTACCTACACAGGCGGACCCTTAGTACCTACACAGGCGGACTCTTAGTACCTACACAGGCGGACTCTTAGTACCTACACAGGCGGACTCTTAGTACCTACACAGGCGGACTCTTAGTACCTACACAGGCGGACTCTTAGTACCTACACAGGCGGACTCTTGGTACCTACACAGGCGGACTCTTAGTACCTACACAGGCGGACTCTTAGTACCTACACAGGCGGACTCTTAGTACCTACACAGGCGGACTCTTAGTACCTACACAGGCGGACTCTTAGTACCTACACAGGCGGACTCTTAGTACCTACACAGGCGGACTCTTAGTACCTACACAGGCGGACTCTTGGTACCTACACAGGCGGACTCTTAGTACCTACACAGGCGGACTCTTAGTACCTACACAGGCGGACTCTTAGTACCTACACAGGCGGACTTTTAGTACCTACACAGGCGGACCCTTAGTACCTACACAGGCGGACTCTTAGTACCTACACAGGCGGACTCTTAGTACCTACACAGGCGGACTCTTAGTACCTACACAGGCGGACTCTTAGTACCTACACAGGCGGACTCTTAGTACCTACACAGGCGGACTCTTGGTACCTACACAGGCGGACTCTTAGTACCTACACAGGCGGACTCTTAGTACCTACACAGGCGGACTCTTAGTACCTACACAGGCGGACTCTTAGTACCTACACAGGCGGACTCTTAGTACCTACACAGGCGGACTCTTAGTACCTACACAGGCGGACTCTTAGTACCTACACAGGCGGACTCTTAGTACCTACACAGGCGGACTCTTAGTACCTACACAGGCGGACTCTTAGTACCTACACAGGCGGACTCTTGGTACCTACACAGGCGGACTCTTAGTACCTACACAGGCGGACTCTTAGTACCTACACAGGCGGACTCTTAGTACCTACACAGGCGGACTTTTAGTACCTACACAGGCGGACCCTTAGTACCTACACAGGCGGACTCTTAGTACCTACACAGGCGGACTCTTAGTACCTACACAGGCGGACTCTTAGTACCTACACAGGCGGACTCTTAGTACCTACACAGGCGGACTCTTAGTACCTACACAGGCGGACTCTTGGTACCTACACAGGCGGACTCTTAGTACCTACACAGGCGGACTCTTAGTACCTACACAGGCGGACTTTTAGTACCTACACAGGCGGACTCTTAGTACCTACACAGGCGGACTCTTAGTACCTACACAGGCGGACTCTTAGTACCTACACAGGCGGACTCTTAGTACCTACACAGGCGGACTCTTAATACCTACACAGGCGGACTATTAGTACCTACACAGGCGGACTCTTAGTACCTACACAGGCGGACTTTTAGTACCTACACAGGCGGACTCTTAGTACCTACACAGGCGGACTCTTAGTACCTACACAGGCGGACTCTTAGTACCTACACAGGCGGACTCTTAGTACCTACACAGGCGGACTTTTAGTACCTACACAGGCGGACTCTTAGTACCTACCTACACAGGCGGACTCTTAAGAGCTTATTAGACTTTACTAAATTCAGTCGTCTAAATGATTCAGTTCCTAAATTCAGACAAATGCAATCGCATTTAGGAAGGTAGATTTCTAAATTTAGGAAAAAGTACAGCTACTGACTCACTAAATCATTTAGAAACCTAATTAGAATCGAATTTAGGAAGATGCGATCGCGTTTAGTTGCTTCAGTCGGTGTGCAGCCCTTTCCGCGTGTGGATCTGTCCCTTGTCGTAAGAAAGTGCGAGTGTTCGAGAATGGCAACGAAATAAAAAGAAGTTTTAGTCCATATAATCGCACTTTATAAAGACATGCCATATCTATGGAAAAAAATGATAAAAATTACATGAATAAAAATATTCATGTTTGATAACTCGTCGCGCAGTAATAAATATTTCTTGACCCACGTCTTTCATTTTTTTTTCTTTTTTTTTTTTTTGATGGACCCAACCGCCTCAGCCACGGCGAGGTGAAAAAAATTAACTAGAGCCATTTTATTTATAGTAGTAAAACGTCCGCCTTTGTTGCGTTTCAGCAGGCAACTTGATTTATTATAATATTTAGAACAGTGTGATTAGAAGCTTCTAATTTCGTTCCTTTTCTGAATCCTGATTTAGGCTACTAAATTTAGTAAAGTCTAATAAGCCCTTTAGTCTAAATATTTTAAGGCAGACAAGTGATAACATTAAAAAATTTCTGCAACCGCCTTCAATATAAATAAAATGAGAATATCATCAATATAGTCGACGTCAATTAAATATGCATTAGAGGCGAACTCTTATTTCTCGGCGGATTATTAAGGAAAACTCAAAAACGCTCTTCGAAGCCGAAATTGGCCGGTTGTCTCTTTCCAAAGGTCGATGTGCAATATTTATCGCCGGGTACTGTACTACTACCCGGTAAACGGGTCAAGTTTTAAAAATTTCACCATAAAAAGCTGCACGAATAACGTATATAATACATAGTATTTGTTTAAAGCTGATGTTCATACTGAGAGATAATCATTTATTCTGTTTTTCCCGGTTCTTAATTGACTGCAATTTTCTTTTTATTTAGACCCATGTGCTGAGGAAAAGTTAAAACTATCTTGTGTGCCTTTATATCACTTTTATTTTTACAAGTTATAACAACCATCAGGCCGTGAATAGTTGGATGGGCAGTCCTCGTCATCGATTTAGTTATTATTAACAAATTATAGATTACAGTGACTTACAAAAATAACGTGATCTATCGAAAGGTATAAAATAATGCTGATATTCCTCTTAGGTGACTGTCTACGCGGAGTTTTACAGGATGAGATGGGGTGGTGCAATGACGCCGCTAGACGGCAATCAAATATTGTATATAATAGTGGCGGTGTAAGATTTTGGATGTCGTAAGAGGTGACAGATGGAACTGAAACAGCATCTGAGGCAGCAGCATCTCTCTCAACACAAAAAACTGCGGTTGCCAACTTGCTTATCAAGCATGGCAATTATGGCAAAATACAGCAGTGGACCTTTAATAGGCTGTAATGGAATATAATGGAAAAAGATTTCTACATTAAAAAAAACTGTGGTAAAAGGCATTCGCGATCGCGGACGCTTAGATGCTTCAGCACTTGCATTAATGTTACATAGGAAATGTAATGATACACAACGTATTTACCTTCTCCAGAGGACTTTGACTCGTTACAATTCCCTCTTTCAAGAATAATGAATAATCTTTATAGAATGCATCATAGCCAACAGGATCCTTCTGAGCCATATCACACATAAATTTAATAAATCTGTTAGTTAATACAGTTCGTAGTTTGCTGAAATTGTAAACAAAAATATAAATTATGTTTGAGTTCGAAAATCCGAAATTAAAGTAAAATATAAATTATGATTATGCCACAAACATTATTAGACAAAATATTTAATTAATTTATTAAATATTTTATTTATTTACTGTATTTCTACAAATTCCAAAAACTTTTGAACCGTAGTAGATCATAAAATTCGCGTTCGACCTTAAAATTTCATAGTAATGTTTTAAATCAATATTTCAATTGCATTTTAATGCTTATAATAAATGTAACAAAATGAGAACCTTTCAGCCGTTTATTAAACGAAGTTTCAAAACCACTTTCGAAACAGCAAAAATACACTCATGGACCAATTTTAAGGAACACAAAGAAAAAGTTTAATTTCTCCTGTTGTAATTATCGTGCTTACTGTCCACAAATATTAGTAAACGTCAGGTTTTGGTTTTGTTTTAATGTAACCGACTAATAAGCAAAATCAAAATTAACAAACTTAAGTGTCAAAAATATACGATAATTTTTACATATTCTGTGAGAGCGTGGTCCTGCCCCGGTCGAGCCGACCCATTCGAGCTACAACCATAATATAGCTGCAGCGTGGCTCTACCACGTACGCAACACCTTTATTGCGTTCCTCTAAATTTGTCCATGAGTATAGTTATTCTAAAACAGCAACGATTGAAACTATTTTCCAGAACCAGATTCTCAATGTAAGGCTGTATCTAATGTAAATAAAGCACACGGTAAGTAGTTTTTTTTTTTCAAATATTCTATAAAATAAACTTATAAAGATGAAATGTGAACGGCGAAATAATCTCAAGGTAATTTATTAATTTAAATTTAAATTAATTATCCTAACGTAATTTTCGATTCCTCGTATGAGAACGTGGAAGATCATTTAGAAAGAGTGGGTTATAATGTAACCTACGATAATAGTAGATAACTACAATTTAAATATAGTAAAATATTTGAAAAGAAAATTAACTATTACCTATGTTTTATATACAAATTATGATCTGTTTTTCATTGAGTAACTCTATCTTTAAGTTTTCATACAGAATTTACTTGTCTTGGATTTAATCTTACTAGTTTAAGTACTGACCTCTATATATACAAATACGCGGTCTTAATTTAAAAAAAAAACACCTTTTTTGTCTTTAAGAAACTGAAAATTATCAAGGAAATTGTGTGGTGTCGGTGTTTTCTCGACAGTAAAAGACTCTCAATAATGTTAAAAGGCCTGTGCCCATCAGCAAAACGCAGGTAGCCTCTTACTTATTTAAAATAGAGCAGGGCTTATGCACATATAAATACTCACACACACATAACACACACACACACACACACACACACACACCACGCACGCACGCCACGCACGCACGCACGCACGCACGCACGCACGCACGCCACGCACGCACTAACGCATGCACGCACGCACGCACCACACCACGCACGCACGCACGCACGCACGCACGCACGCACGCACGCACGCCGCATGCACATGCACGCACACATTTACAAATATATACATTTAATACATTTGCTCTTAAGTAGTGTCTCCACATGTAGCGGATTCAATATTATGTAATAGTAACAAGGCATTCTGTAATACAGTTTTTACCATAAAACTAGTACAGTCGCTAACTTTGAGTACTAAACCAAAGGAGACGGCATCGCAAGGCATACCCCTCTGTAAAAGGTACTAGAGTCCGACTCATACTCGTTATATAAAACTAGTTGCTCCGCGTCGTGCGTCATTCCGAAATGATCATGCCAGTAAATCGAGCTCCGACAAAATGCCGAATTGCAGTATATTTACATGAAAAAAACAATCAAAAACGTTAAGTATACAAAAGGACAATGTGACTTTTCATCTGTGAGTATTTTTAACATAATATTAAAGTAATTTTATCATTAAAACTCGTACTTTGTGAATATTTTCGTCCAATACCAAGTGTGGCCATCATAGTTCATAAAGTGAAAAATAATCTATTTTTAAATAAATATAATTTACTACACAAGTTAAATATATTAACGAAAATATATTTCCTAATAACTAAATCAGTTTGTGATGAATAATAATCACTACATATAGATGTGTAGTGGATTTTGTTAAATGATTTATATATTCAGCACAATTTCAACACGATACTAAATATTATATAACTTAATATAATCGATAACTAGTATTTATCAAAATATTATACAAAATAAAGGCCACATAAGTCAAATCGAAACTTACTACTTCACAGCAAGTGTGCAATTTTTATAAAAATAAACTGGTTTCACTGCAACCGAAAGTATTGCACTATAGTGATGGACGCCACAACTTTAGCTATCGATAAATTAGTTAACCACGCGGGTTTGTCTGCCGAACCGGTTTGTAGTTTTTATTTAGCTTTCACAGTAAAATATTACAAAAAGTTGTAAAATTACCTTTGTGACCCAATATTGTTCTACTTGAAAATATTTTATTTAAGTTTACAAAAGCATTAATATATCAAATTTATATATATATATATATATATATATATATATATATCTTGAATCTTCTGACCTTACGTAAGTAAATTATTTATCTTAGGGTGATCGTGGTGATTGCACAACATCAGCAACATCGAAGAAAGAAAGCTGGATGTTCCGGATAAATTCCAGTAGTTGTCTCAAAAGTCACAGATCGAAAAAAAAATCTTTATAGATTATATATAGCCCAAACTAGTCCTACTCTCACTGCGAGTATGAGCCAACACTTAGGCCAAGAAAAATTAAACTGAAAAAATTCCTTGACATAAAAAACAATAGCATAAACAGGCTTCACAAGTTTGCAAGAAATACTTTGCCCTAACACTTAACTATTACTCACCAAAAGCCTATCGCTATGTACGTAAAACTTTTGAAACATGTTTGCCTGCACCACGGACATTGATTAGGTGATACACTACCATCGATCGCCGACCAGGATTTACTCAAGGAGCGCTGACGGCATTAAAATTGAGAGCGGAGAGTAACCCTGATAAAAAATTATTGTACCTTGGTCATGGATGAAATGAAAATTAGGCAATTGACGGAATACCATACTAGCAGCCAAAGGCATTATGTATATAACCAAAATGTCTTTTAGAACTGGCATAGTACTCCGTCAATTGTTTTATTTTCATTTCATCTATCACTAATATACAATACAATTTCTTGTCAGGGTTACTCTCTAGTCTAAGTTTTAAAACAGTTAACGCTTTTTTTGTGTAGCCAAGTCGTCGGCCATCAATTGTACATTAGTTTAGCAAAACATCTTTCTGGGGAATACTTAGCCCTAGGTAGATGTCACATTTTATTTTTAAGCAGCTGTCTGTTTAAAGTTCACTTTGTTCAACTGTTATACAGTGTAAAACTTTTTTATTTTCCAAATTTATTATATTTTTCAGATAGTTCATTTAATAACTCTTCAAAATCAACAACTATTTATAAACAGCGATTTTGTGATTGAAGCCTTATAATAAAAACAAAAACTTGGTTAACACCATCTAAGATGATAAACTGATAGGATTTTTCGATTTTGATTTGTTAAATACTTTAAATTTTATCCTGCATAATGTAAAATAAACCTGTAGCAAAATAATAAAGTTTCTTTCAATAATTTATAAGTTTTTTTCCGAAGATCATTTTTAAATACCTTAAAAAAAGAATTTCAAATAACACCTTGGTATTATTTATCTATGTATTACTTATAATCAAATAAAAACTTGTGCTGACTATGGTGATTTGTTTATCGATAAAAAATATTGACACAGTCCACGCCTTACGTTGCTTACGCATTCAGCCAGCGCTATCAGTGTATCGACACGTGTACGATTTGATGGTATGCGTAAACGCGATGAACACAAACACAAAATTGTTGTAGTGTGCGTTTATAGTGACACGATTTAATTTTGCATTTGTAGTTAAGTATACAGTTGTGTGTTTATCTTGCGCCCCCCTGATGTTGACAGAATTTTTGTTTAGGAATTAACGCGCATGGGCTCTCCAGTCGGTTGAATACTCAAAGGTCGCTAACGATCAACCATATCTTACTAGTATGTTGCCAAAAACTAGCACTTCAATAGTTTGATACCCTGCATATAAACAAAGTGAATAAATTTATTATTATATTACTATACTTATTGCGGGTAACATTACAACAATCATTTATTAAATAGTGATTACAATTGAAAAAAATACGTCGTAACACTATAATATTGTTGATACTTCCGTTAACCACTCGCAGTAAGCTTAAAATGCTTGGAGTGCTCCACAACAGTAGTATACGATTCGACTACTGTCCATTGGAGCCCACGATTTTATGAGAGTTCCCATCATTAAACATAAGGCTACTATTCCATCTATTATTTTAAGAATGTCAAGCAGCGTGATTGTGTACTTACTTACTCGAAAATTATAGTATTAATTGAAACAGGCCGAGAGAATACTTTACTTACTTAGCAATATTAAAGACTGAAATAACCACATTGGCATACAGACAGGAAATATAAACGCAAATAACAAATCTGTTAAGATACTCTACGGCTCCGTGGCGCAGTGGCTTAGCATTGCGATACGGAACTGAGGGCAACGTGTTCGAATCCCGCACGGAACAAGTATTTGTATAGCGTACATGTAATTGTTCCGGGTCTGGATGTTTCCTAAAGCTCATCCTAATGTGTTAACGTTTTTTAAAAATTAAAAAAAAACTTACACAATCAAGGCGCTATTCTGCAATAGTTCTCTGCTAAGATTGAGTGGAATGTCTTCTGAATCGACAACGCCTGTAACATATTAAGACCAACGTAAACATGAATTCAACTTTATTTTTTAAAGAGTATCCAAATTTTAAACCTAAGTTCAATATATAAATAATGATATACTGAACAGCAGTTTTTGAAAATACGAGCAAATAAGGCATCTACTTTTATTTGAAATTATCCCAAGTTAAATGTAATTTATGGGCAACAAAGTTTTTGCCCAAAGGTTGACCCTTAAGAATGTGTGCGTGCACGGCAAAATCATTTAAAATAATGCATTACCACACCTTTTGAATTTAAAAGATAAAAAGGACTGAATTTTTGGGTTATTAAATTCTTCACCATTTGCCTATATTACTTATTCTGGACCTTCTCTGGAAATTTGGCCGATTATTGCAAAATAATCCTGTATATAGCTAAAGCAGAATACTGAGACCCTGAAAAGTTTGCAATCTTTATACATAGTTTATAATTGCCTCCGTCAATACATTAGATCGCAAAAAAATACAAAGTTGGTATACAGAATGAATATACTGCAATTTTTAGAACGCCAGAGCTTACTTTGTATGCATGGAGATGTCAGCATGGAGAACCGAATGCAAGTAATGTTAGCAATTAGAGAAAAATTGTCATATTTTCCTTATAAGTACCAGAGATATTGCATAACAAACATTAAATATATATTCCAATAACCTCTTCATCGGTTTATAGATAACACAAAATAACTCACCTTTTACAAATCTTAACCATTTTGGTAAAATATTATCTGCCTTGCTCTTTATCAATATTTTCCTTGAATACAAAGCTACGCCGACATCAGAATCACGAGACATTTCAAAGAGACCCGGTTTTCCTTCAGGCACATATAGAATAGAGCGTATACTAATTGGTGCATCAGTTTTATAATGCAGTGTGAAACGCGGCTTGTCATAAGAATTGCTAATGAATCTGTAGAATTCTACATGTTGCTCATGTGTTACCTCCTTAGGTTCCATTAACCATACTGGCTGAAAACATATCTGAGTTTAGAAAAATGTAATTATATATAAACGGAATAAACAATGATATAGTTCGTGCCAAATCGATTGAGAAAGACGGACAATAACCTCAGATATGAGCCGAGTGTCAAAAGGCGTAACTTACAAAATCTCAATTTAGATGTGATAACAATATTTAAGTATTGATATTATTCACACCTCTAGGTCAGCACATATGTTTTTTTTTTGTTTCTTAAATAATATTGTCTGTGGTTCCTATAAATATCGTAAAATCTTACGGTGCATGGCGAAAAATGTGTTATATTTTATATTTCAATTTATAGTAAGTAACGCAGCAATTCATTTAATAACAGTTTCATATTAAAAAAATATTTGAAGCAATATAATCACCATATTCAGCTTTTGCAAATTCATCCGTTTATAATACAAAACGCGCGTTACGTCAGTTCGTTCTAAAAGAAACGTGACAATGGCAGTCAGAGATGCGTCACCTTTTTTTGGGCAGGGTACGTTGAACGAAAAAATACAACTTTCAAGTTAACAGATATTAAAAAATTACTTAACTCAAATCACGCCAGATAAATGGAAAAACTGTGTTCAGCATGTCCTCCATGTGTAAGGTTGAACAAAAAATGCGTGGCATGGATGATAGAATTGATCAAACTGCAGATCGCTTTTTCTTCTACAGTGATCTTTTACATAACTTTTTAATAATAGTTAATAAATATATATTATATCAATCATTACAAAAATAAAATAAAAAAATCATTATAAATAAAGAAAGTACTACTTATAAAATGTGCTTATATATTGAAGTTTTGTAGCCCCTGGTTAAACGACCGAAAGGTCATTGTAAGTTTTTTTCAATCGATTTGGCACGTACTATAGATATAATAATTGCAGTGTGGTGAAACATAAGAAAACTCATCACCCCTTCTCATCCCGAGAATGTCGTAAGGAGCGACTATGGGAATCCAGATTGATCATGATTTCATGATGTAACAATCTCTTTTAAATATCTTCTCTATGTATAAAAATCAATAGCTGTCCATTAGTTTCATCTAAACTCAAAAACGCGTCGACCCATTTTAATGAAATTGTTTGTGTGTTTGAATTGATTCATAGATGGTTTAGATTCACATTTGGATACCGTAGGTGGCGCTGTTGTCGAGATCCAGAAAACACCCGGGCGAAGCCGAGGCGAATCACTAGTCAGATATAAACTACCCAGGCGGTTATTAGATGACGGTTTAATGAATTATGACAGTAATATATTTACGGCATACATTCAACAGTGACGTACCGTAACCGTGAAATATCCTGACCGGAGATGTGAGACATTTTGTACTGAGATCGACAATCCGCATGTCAAGCTTTTCGATTTTAGTGTGTTATATTATGTGCCGACGAAGAAGCTAGACATGTGTCAATCGTGAATAATTTGTTAATTTAACCCAGGTCGCATTCAAGCATTAATGACTTCAAATACATTTTTCGAACGTTCCGGATCAAATGATTGACAGAACCTACGACCAGAGTATAGTAATGTCCGACGACCGACATTATCGAGTGGTTCTCACAGATCACAGAGGAATGAAACTAGAAATGATCCCGACCAGAGTGACCCGATTTGTAAGACGAAATACTTGAATGATCGGGTCCCTACAATTGAATGAATAACACATATCAAAAAGAAGCAAAAACTACCCGCATGCATCGACATATATGTACTACGCACTAGATTTCGCATTCCGAACACTCGCTATGTTTAACTGTACTGTACTGCTATCCGTACACCTTACTTTCATGCACAATTATAGACTAAAACATGCAGGTGTTCCATTACAAAACTGAATGCAGGTAAAATATTTTACTGAACAAAGACTTGACGTGGTGTTTTAGAAAGTGATTAATTTTTTTAATTGTTTTATAACCGTAATTTTTGAATTCTTATTTTATGTTCTATCTTTTTAGTATAATAAAATTTGTTATAAAATATATATATATATATATATATATATATAATTTCTAAATAAAATGTAATAATAATGATCTTTGATATTACTGTATGTTTTTATATTTTACATAGTTACCTTTAAAAATATTCAAAAAAATGTCATTAGAATGTAGTTGTGACATAATACTATGTAATATTATATTAAATTAGCACACATGCAAAATAAATGACAGTTAATAAAATTTTCTTGAATACAATTAACAAAACAATCTAAATGTACAATTTTTACATACTGATATCTGATTCTACCCACGTATAATAATCTATGACGACAGAAATTGCCCGCGCATGCACGACTCTATTGTCTCCCGCGCATGCGCGAAGACAGAGTAGCGCACATTTTTTGTTTGGAATAGCTTCTCTAGTACGTAGTACATATAACTCAATGTCTGCATGCCGTTAATCACTCGAATGCGCGAACAATAACTATTTATGTGAATTTCTCTAAAATTTTTATAACTTCTCTCTAGTAAAGTTTAATATGGATACAAATACAAACCTTTATTGAGTTTACTTGCTCGTTATTGAGTAAAATTGGACTTCCAATAAAGTTGCTGTATTTCTTAATTATATCTGAAAATATTTTTTAGTGTTTTTAAGACTTAAATGCTTAACAAAACATATAATATGTAATTTTATAAGAAGTACCTTTAACTCTTTCCTCATCAGCAAACTCTCTACAATCTGTCTTTAAGTACACTATTATTTTAGTACCTATTGGTACACCTTCTATTTCTTGAATTTCGTAAGTTCCTGATCTGTAAAGAGTAGAAGAGTAAACATTAAAGCGTGTCCTGAATGTACTGTGCGCAACTTTGAAAAAATCATATACTAGTCTTTATTAAAAATATTGTCATAGGCTAACAGGATCATGCTAACAGAAATGAGATAACTCAAAAAATGTAATTTAATTTTTAAACCTTGTGTGCCAATGCACACTGCATGTAACACAAAACTGGGTTTTAGTCAGTGTAAGTTGGATTAATATGTGTAAAAACTTACTCAAAATCAGCATTCAATCTCAAAAGGATCATTCAAATAACTCACGGCTTTTAAAGTGATAACAATTTACATTTCACGATGTGTTAGACTTGCGACATATGTACTTCAAATACGCAAATAGTGTCCTCTCAGTAAAGAGAGGATCATGAGACAAGAAGTGTCCACCGCAATCACCAATTAATGTTGGACTCGGGCTTAACAGATCCTTGAAATATTTTATTTTAATTACTCAGATATGGAAGTTTCCCCATTATGTTTATCTTCACAGCCAAGCATGTGGTAAATTTTACAAAGGTTTTATCATTTAATTAATTATATAAAATGATATAATTAAACTGAAGATATAATGCATGTGAAATGTGTATGTGTGTGTGTGTGTTTTATATATACTTTAGTATATAATATATTTAATAAAAAAAAAAAAATATATATATATATATAACTTAGGGACTTTCAAGAAAAGAGCTTACTCCTTTTTAAAAGGAACTACAATCCCCCCTGGTGTTGTGGTTGTTCATGGGTGGTGGTAGTCACTTACCATCAGGTGAGCCAAATGCTCGTTTGCCCACTCTTCTACTAAAAAAAATACATACCCATCAGAGCTCCATTTGTATCCTAGGGATCCAGATTTACTGCTTCTTGTATAAACTTCTAGTTTATCAGCTACCATAAATGCAGAGTAGAAACCGACGCCAAATTGTCCTATGATAGAACTGGCCTGTTCAGTTCCCTGTTTTTTTATTTCTTCTATAAAGGACTTAGAGCCTGACCGGGCTATAGTACCTAAATTTTGTATTAACTCTTCTTTGGTCATACCAATACCATTATCCTGAATTAAAAATTTATGGCATCATTATGAAATGTTTGCTTTTAATTATAAACTGTTAAACAAATGTGTTTAATCATAATCATGGATTAAAATGGAATAACAAGTTCATTCTTTATATTAAATAAATCTTTATAGAATTGATTTTATTGTATTACCTCGAATGTTAGAGCTCTGTTTTGTTTGTCCGTAGTAATTCTAATTTCAAGTGCTCTGTCAGTATTTTCTAAATTTGGAGAGTCTTGGGCTGAGCTCACACTTAAATACCGGAACTTTTCAAGAGCATCACTTGCATTTGAAATCAATTCTCTAATAAATACCTAGAATCATTAAAAATAAGCATGTATTATGTTTAAAAATACAAGATTCTAAAGGTTTTTAATATTTATGTTCATATAACACAATTATTTTGTTCTACAATTGAAACCAGATACAACAAAATTGAAGGGACCATATAACTAAGGACGCTATATTCCATTTTCATTACAAGCATGCAATACACATTTTTAATAAGTTTTTACTATCATTAGTTTTCAAAATAATTTTATTATTTAACTGAATTTCAAGTGTTTTGGATTTTATGTTTCATTTCCCTTAAGTATTCTTGATTAATATCAAAATTAAACTCTTCTTTAAAAGCGAAAAAAAATTGTAAAGTCCTACTATCTATTTAACACAATAAGTTGGTAACAATTATTAAATATTTAAATAAATGTACAAAGCGACTTAACCCTAATAAGAGTTCTCTTCCAGCAAACTTGTTATAGCATTAATAGCCTTGGATCATTATACACATGTTGGTTGAAACTATTTTCTTTGTTTTGTTCTGTTTTGTCACTGTTGCAATGATTTCTTCCAACTTCCGCTAAAATCTTTTCTTCATTAAATAGCGCACACATGGCAACATTGTCATCAATACCGATGAACTCCTCAATTACAAGTTTTGATTCTGTAGCTGACTTAGCTAGAGGTATGTTGTCATCTTCATCTGTTTAAGATAGCATATAATTATCATTCTCGTCTGGTGATATAAAGATATCTTTGAATCCAGCATGGCAAAAGCAGTTGGCTATAATTGTGGTTTTTAAACCTTTTCCCAAGCTTGAAATGATAAAAATTGCCTCCAAAACAGTAAACCTTTTTTATTTTCGCCGTTTTCATTTACAGTACTTGAAGTTTTCTGTATATTATTGTGTTTTATCACTCATTGGTCCATAGGTATACATAAGTAACATTGGGTAGTAAAAATACAAGTTTTATGCATTTTAGATAAGGGACTACAGGGTAAGCAGGGCAGGTGCCAACTAGAAAAAGAATTTTATTACCTCTTGATTTCAAGTCTGCATCCCAGTTTTGTTCCCGTTTTCAAAATTTGAGATGTCATCCAGGACTTAGTGCTGTTTTCGTACGTAACAGGCAGTGAGGGAATGTTCTTAAAGCATTGCGGTTTTTTAGCTTTTCTGATCATTTTTTTCTTTATGCGATCCAGTCATGTTTGCAGTAACCAACACCATAACTATTGTTTAAGACATTTTCCATCCTTGCATTGTCACCTTTAAATTTAAGTGTTTTTCAGGGGTAAATTAAAACAGTCCGATTACATTCCAATTATGAGATAGCTACTCCTATTCTTTCATCACACCTTCAGAAACGCCACCAGCTTCACTCACTACAAACTTTAACAGCCATAATGTTATGACAAAAAATACCACGAAATTTTCTTTTCCCATACGAAAAGTAAAATCATTGGCTTTTTGCTGAAGGATTAGACCACTTATTGGCACTTTGTTAGTTAGCTCTTTGGTAATTAACCATGTTAAATACAGCCTCTTCTCTAACTTTTTACAGAAATCCTTAACTGCTTAGTTTTCAAAATGAGCTTTAATTTTGTTCTTATTCTCCCAAATTGTTGATATTGTAGAGTGTGAAATTCCGCATTCCTTTACAACATCCCCATTAAGCTTAATATTTTCTGATTGCCATAAGTTGTAAGATTTTTTACAATATTAAACACTTCTTTTTTTGCGACATGAAGACATAAAAAAGTGTATATATATATATATATATATATATATATATATATATATATATATATATATATATATATATTATATACCACCAATTATATTTACCACTAAATACATGCCAATTTAGGGTTTCTTAAACAGATTGCTAGCTTTGATAGGAGTTTTAGGATTCATCCTAGAGAAAGATGAAATTGCTCCACAAACCATATGCTCGGCGGTGAAGGAAAACATTGTGAGGAAACCTGTATGTCTCAGAAATAAAAAAAAATATTTCGAAGACATGTGAAGTTCACCAACACGCATTTGGGCAGCACGGCGGACACTTCCTTGCCCTAAAACCCTCTCAGAGATGACAGGCCTTTGCCCTCCAGTGGGACGTATATAGGCTGTAACTTTAACTTTTATATACTATATATATAAAGATCACTTGCTATGTACACTACCTCAGGGAAAAATGGTTCAAGCATGACATGAGGCCTGGGCAAGATACAAGAAGGTATGTAAGCTAATAATAAAATAAATAATTAAAATAAGATTTATAATTGAAGTATTTTGCTTTAGTTAAAAAGTACGACAGTAGGTTGTTAGCCAATATATTCTGATGACGGTTTATTGCTTTTACCCAATGTTTTTATAAACAATATATTAACATAGGTACTTAGGGTTTCCACTGGGGCCTTGCCATATAGCCGGTATAACTGACTCCACATTCTAACCCATGTTGTTGCATTTGGTTTCAAATGTATATAAATTACTTACTTCTTTGTCGGAATATAAGGATCTAGCTACAATATCTAGTAACATTCGAGTTTCAGCCTGAAATTCCTTTTTCTCTGGAGTAGATCTTGTAACTTCAGCTTTATACTGATCAGATGCTGTACTAAATTTGGATTGGAGTAGATGGCATGACCCTGTAATAGTAATAATCATAAAGTAATTTATGTTGGCAGTTCAATTACTTTGAGAGCAATATTGTAACACCATTAAATATTAGGACAATGTTTATTTAGGATTTTAATTAAGCCTAAATGCCACAAATGACAGAGCTATAAGTCATATTGCTCCAGGAAGTTGACAAATATATGTACAGACTAATAAAAAAGAAAAGTATGGTTTTAATAATATAGTATAATTTGTTAATACTATGTTAATATTATGATAGTTAAAAATTCAAGGGAATATTCCTTATTATTACTTAATTACTTGAAGTTTTTGTGGCCTCTGAAAGAATATTCACTGTCTATCTTACAATTTTAACAGACAAACCCTTAAAACCTTCTAGAACATAAAGAGGCCTGTGTCGATCAGACTAAGAACTACTTATATTACTTTTAAGGGAATGGCATTAGGGAGGTAAACAACATATAAGGCCAATGTGAAACTCTAATCTGTTAATTTAAATTTTGCTTCACGATTAAAAATGTTACGACAAAACGATTTTACGTCGCAAATTTGTCTGAGGTGAAACCTTCCCCGAGTACGGGGTTGCCTGGTGTGTATAAAATATAATATAAATAATCTTTCTTAAAATATACCATTATACTGCGCTCTTAAAACCGTGATCCCATTAGGTTTGAAATTATTAACGGGCAGCAGAAGTAACCTCCTCGCGTATTGTACTGAAAAACATAATCTTGCACGTAGCGCTGACATAATACCAAAATTATTATCAATTTAAAACCGTTGCCGCTATAGCTATGGGGAAAGGTAAAATTTGAAAATAAAATTTGGATAAATCATCAGATATTTAATCCAAGAAACAAGAAATTAAAATTATGAAAATTAAAAATCTTTTATCAACAGCACTTGACCATAGACTATTGAATGACACCAAATGACACCAAGTCAAAAACAGTATCTTTTTTTATCTGGCTTTACAGCTCTAGTATCTAGCCCTTCTGAGCCTAAACTTAAAGTATCTTTTTTATAAAAAAATAAAAAGTATTTATTAACATAGTAGTTAGTCGTTGAAATTACTTACAGCGCCACCTTAAGGTTTAAACCTGTACCCTGTACTAGTGATTGTATCTACATAACCATAAATCGTATACATAGCATGCATAAATATTATAGGCTTTCTTTCAGGGCACGGATAACGGTATATTTTTGGAAACGGTTTCGCCTTAAATACCTAAAAACTTATTTTTTTCTTTCATTGAGTTATAAAAAACTAGAGGAGCAAATCACATTACCGCGCGTCGAAAAAAGTATAACCACTATCCAACCGCGACGACGTAGCTTTGAAATTACTTAATATTTTAAATAAACATATATTTGTCTCACTTACACAAATTGCGAAAACAATACCATCGCTAAGATTAGATAAAGATAGACACACCAAACATGCAATGGCGGGTTGGTGTGGCTTACTATATGAAATTTAACCCAAAACACGCAATAAAAATGAGTTATTTTTAATAAGCAATCAATGTTTTTATTTAAAAAAAGTATATTTTCTTATCAAGTGAATAGATGTTAGCATAACTGATGAAACAAAACATATTTTTATTGTACTAATAACTCAAACAATATAAATAAGGTAATAAAATATAAAATTTGTATAAAAATAAAATTATAATCAATATAAAATGGGTAATAAAATATGTATAATATATCATTCATGAATAAACAAAAATAAGTAAGTCCCATCCCCCGTGACCACGGGTGCTGTAAAGCACCCGAAACGTCGGGATAATAAAAATAAATTAAAGTTGAATTAAACGCGATAAACTCCGTAAATAATAGTTTTATTCAATAATTAAATATTTTATGAAAGTTAAAACGTAGTTTTTATTATAATTCCTAATATATTTTAAAAATCAGAAGTAACAAATTAACTTACTCCATTAATTATATAGTCTCCCATTAATGTGGGATAATCACAGAGGCGGAAAAGTGGCAACATTTAACCTAAATCACGATATTCGATAATTTTATTTATTTTAGGTTTTTACGTTTATATGAAAACATGAACTAAAACATATGTGTGTTAAGTGATTCCGCCCGATTTATTATGTTTTTGTGACCTTGGATCGCAATCTTTCACTACGTATTTACCCATTTTTTGTCGCGGATCGTTCGGCTAAACTCTGTCGGCGTCACACTGAACTGACATGATCTGCACATATGTGCAGCAACGCTTTGGCGCTGTAATAATTAATCTAGTGTAATTTATAAATCAATAGTTTATTTTATGATCGAACGAAATCATAATAAAAACGTTTATGAAGACATTGAAGTAATATGTAAGTACTTACGTACTAAAACAGCTATTTCAAACAAAAAATGTGCGCTATTTTGTGTTCGCGCGGTTGGTTTTTTATCATAGAATATACATGGTTAGAATGATCAGTAGGTAATAATAGATTGTATTGTTAAATAGATAAATTATATCGTGTATAATTTTTAAATTTTCTCATTTATTTTGTATATTATATTTGCTTATTTAATATAATATTACATACTATTATATCACAATTACAATGTCAAATATAAAAAAACATACTAAATGTATGTTTAACAAAACTTATTAATATAACATTTAAATTACAAATATATATATTTAAATTAGAATAAGATTCGTTCATAAATGCTGGGCACGCGAGAGTTAAAAATGGATGAATTTAATCCACTTTGATGTGGAAACTTAAAAATAAAATAAAAGAAAATGAGCAGATTTAAATATAAAAAATTTTGCCTAATTATGATAACTTGTACAACATGTAACATAATTAACACACTTTGAGAAAGTAGTTTGTTCAGAATCGTTTACTGAATCGATTCCTATCATTTTTAATATAGGTAATTTTTTATCCCAAAAATAATTAAAACTACGTAAATTATAGTCACACTAAATCTGTACAGTCAAACAAACTGAAATGGACCGTAACTTAAGTCAATAAGACTTTTAAGAGTGCAGTTATTTTTATTATTACTAATTCTGTCATTCAATAAAAATAAAGAAAAAAGAACTTTATTTCAAGCACGTTAAAGTCTTTGCGTTCGTGGATTTGTACTGTGACCACAACAGTCTTCCGGAATTAGTATAATTTGATAAATAATCAGTGCATAAAAATGTTTAACTAAAAATTCAGTGTATGTATTATGATTATAACATAATATACTAATTGGGGTGTCTGAGGGTGTGCGTTAATTACGTTACATATTATATATGTTTCTTCAAAAAAAATTGTGCATAATAATATATTCCTCCTATACTTAAGTACTAACCGAAATGTCCCATCTGAACAAATCAATTTCATAATCTATATTCCATGACACGAGATGGCGTCGAAGGAACAATTTAATGTATTATTAATCTAGAATACTTTGTTTATTGATAAAGTATCTTATTAACCGATAAAAAGCTTTAAAAAGTTACAACATTACTTGAATATTTGTGCAATATCTAAAAACACACCAAGGAATATTCTATCGATATTTTTTTAAATATAATTAATCAACACATCTCAACTCACTAGCGCTTAGCGACTTAACTGAATAAATTGCGGCGCTAACGCCGCAACTAAATGGTTCAGCGTAACTAAATGCAGTGTTGACTCTAGCCTCTAGTACGTAGTACATAATGGCTCAATGTATGAAGAGAACATAATTTTAAATCGTTCTTGTCCAATAAAACGTTTTTAACCGTTTTTTCCCATTTTTAGGAATGAACATTAGGGAAAACTTATCTCTTCAGAATTACAAATCGTTAAACCATAAAACATGCGCACTTACGTGTACATATGTAGAAATATGGAAATCAATACACAGAAATCAAATTTGGACATATGGCTCGTGACGATATGGAAATAAAGTAATTGTTTCATAATTAAAACATTGTGCTGAAAAATAAATATCTTCGACCGTTATTTAAAATTTCAAAAAAATATCATGTTTTGTCATAATCATAAATACTGTTATTCCTTACTATCAAAATGTCTTTTATCCCTTTAGCTTCCTGCGGAATAAACTGTTTTTTTACGTTCTTATTTCGTTTTTGCTCCGAACAAAATGTTATACAAGCATAGACTTATTAACTTATATAATATTATACTACTGCGTATGGACCGGGTCATTTATGGAGCATCAACGCTAGCATCAATGCGTGCCGTGCGTCCGTGCAGTATTTCCACTTTTAGATATTTTGCACTATTTTATGGTAAATCTACCAACGTAGGTAGGGCTTTAGGCGTTTCTTCAAGTTGACACTTGACATGGTTTTGGATAATTTGGGGTAAAACAGAACTTCAGGTAACCCTGTTTTTATACCCAAACAAAGTATTTTTTTAAGATTTATCGAAGGAAATAGGGTCAAAAGATCTAGAAAAGTGTAGAATGAAAAAGTTTTTCATTCCGAATTGCGGAATAATGGTACTTAGTTACATATTCGTTACTCATAGGAGTTATTTGTATTTCATATCGTATTTATTCGTTATTATAATTTAAAAATGAGAACGTCATCTTCATCACAAAACTTAAAACTTTTAATCGTGAAATGATATTCTAACCTTGCAATGATGTTATTCTTTAAAATATTGAAAATTAGGTGCAAGAAAAAGGCTATTTCGATTTCTTTTACGATAATTTAGGGAGTATTTCTACAGGTTTTAGGGTATAATCATAAGTAAAAACACTGTTTCCGTGGTGGTTCATGAGTATTTAAGGCATGGTGCTGATTTATTCTACGCTTAAACCGTAAACAATTTTTCTCATAATGAAGTTTATTAATTTTTAACTAGACAGAGGGAATTTTTTAATCTATTGCTTTTTCTTTAATCTTTTCACATAGCAATTATATGCCATAACTTCATTCAAATCATCTTTATCTATGTCTAGCCTCGTAACATACATAATTTTTAAAAAATAAAAATAAATTACATGATACTTCTTCTAATATTTGTATAATTCCTTTTTTTATTTTTATTGCAAGTTATAAAATTGTAATTTATTGCAATCTATTAATTTCTATTAAAACAAGTACAAAAATTATTCAATAAAAAAACAGATGTTTCTACCTGCTCAATATCAGCACAGTCACGATGAATTACATCGAAAAAAAAAACATCGATATATTTTCTAAGTGGTCACCCCTAAAAGCATGAAGTGTAAAGGTAAGGAGTACAGACTCCGTATAAAAAGTATCCGTAGAAAAGCGCTAAATAAATGGCGCCACTGTAGCTACAGTCTAAGTTTTAAAGAACATTTTATAATTTTTCATTGCACAGACTTTCACCATAATTCTTTTTACAATAATTATTTTAATGCTTTCAACATTTTTATTTTCAAAATCACTCTCAACGTATTTTACGGCGATTTATCATATCCTGTAGCTACTCGAGTGCTGTTGTGGAGAGTTTTTGATCTATTATTTACTGCCTACAGATGGAAACATTTTCAACTATTCTCCTATGGGATATTGTCCTCCTTACCTCTATACTCCATGGTGTAGAGGTAAGGAGAACCAACTCTATAAAAAAGTATCCGTAGGAAAGCGCTAAATAATAGAGATGGGCCTAATATTCGTTTTATATTCGGTATTCGGCATATTCGGCAGGCTTACCGAATAATCGTATTCGGCCGAATATTCGGCTTCGAACCGAACATTTTCATAGTGTCCAATGTATTGAAATGTACGAATTAAGTAATGCGAT